ATATAAAAGACACTCTAACATTTGTTTTCTTTGTAATGCTAATGAATTTGGTGTAAGATATTTCTTACACATATCATCAATGCCCTTAAAAATAGTATTGGAGACGTGGGGAAGACCTGTTGTTAGATTCATATTTCTAAATTCCTGAAGCCTTGCATATTTTGTTTCATCCTTCAGGCACAATTCAATGCCAGCTTGAAGTTGACATAAGGAATTTCCCGAATTTGCCTCCAGCTTAATAATTCGATTGACACATTCAACACGTTGTGTTGAATGGGTATTTGCTGAAAATTTTCGTTTTGTAAATGCATGTGCCCAGCACTCTTTGGTTAAATACAAAGCACAATTACAATATTTTTGAGCTTCTAGATATTTATCCATCAATTCCATCCAACAATGATCGAAATCTGACATTACAAGTGAGTTTCATAATAAATAAAACTCAGAAATGAACTCGTCATATTTATTACCAAGCTTTCTCCTAAGTTTTTTAATCAAATTTTGGTGAATGTGAAATGCACAGTGCCGGACTATAGTTCCAGGATATTGTTTAGATATAGCTAATTGCATCGCCAGATCCACATCCGTAAAGATAGTTGTTGGTTGGAGATTGCCTGTAGCTAATTTTGTCTGTTCCAAAATCTACTCATATGATTCTATGGTCTCATCACAAACAACAGCTGTTGCCACAATGTGACTTCGTTGATCTGAGTCAATTACAATAAAGATGCTTAGAGGCATCATATACTTGTTGGTTTTACATATGTTATCATTGATGACAACATTATGAAATCGAGCCCACAGTTTTTTTTGTTGGGGAGACATCCAAAAAATTCTTGAAAGTCTGTTATCAATGCTCTCAAATCGATCTTGAAATACCAATCTGAATTTTCTTGTTGTAATTTTAATAAGTGCTCATATAAAGTTAAAGCATCGTTTTTAGTTTGAGCGTCAGCTTTAAACTTGTTTATCAAGTTGTAAAGATCCCGGTTATAAATTTCCTGGTCAGGAAATTTATTTTGTAATATTTTTTTAAGAACACCCGCTCCAAAATGATATTCCTGAACATAAAATTGAATTTCCTTCTTTATATATGTAGGTATTTTTCTTAATGGTGGTAAAAATTGTTAAAGCATTTTGCTGTCATTTAGTTCATAGTCATGGCCCTCAACAAATTTGTTGATAAAGACAAGATTTAAATGTTTCCTATATGCCGCATTTAATACGAAACCACAATCTATGCAAACTGACTCTCGCTCTCGATTTGTTGTAGGATCCAATTTTTTTTTTTGGTATATATTTACCCCAATGTCGACATTTGTATGTTTTTCTAATGCAAATATTGTTTTCTTTTTCAACTCTCACTATCTTTGTAGCAAACCCTATTTTGGTTGAATAACATTTCAAACACCACTCAAGCACTTCAAAGGAGGTAAAGGTTTGTTCAGAATATATCTCTTTTAGAGGGCTGTCTTCGAGTTCATTTTCATATTCCTCATTTTTAGATATTTCGCCTTCAGCATTCACAATTTTAGTCGCAGTATCAGACTCATTTTCCGAATCATCATCACTAGATATGTCAATTTCAACACTTCATTTGCAGATAAGGCATTATCAATAATACGCTCATTAGAAGATGAAGGATCAATATCACACTCAGAGTGAAACGAATTCATAATACGCATCAGAGCCTAAGTAAATTTTTTAATTTAGGAAATCAAAAAAAAAAAATTATCTGGCAGTAAATTTCAAAATAAACGTTAAAAACGAGAACTTTACCATAGCTTTAAAAAATTATAAGCCCTATAAAAATATATAAAAACCGTTAAAGTAGCAAAAAATGTAACATGTTAATAAAAACAAAGTATGATCTATAATATATATACCTGCTTTTATTATCAACTCGTGTTTTCTTTCACAGCCTTTTCGCTTGCTTATTAGGTAATTATTTGGCGAGTGTAAAAAAGGTTGACCACAAAATGTTCAAGCCCTCTATTTAATTACCACATGACTTTAAGTTCAAGTACGTAAAAAAAAAGCCGTAATATCTAATAGAGACGGAAAACATTATGCGTCAATAAGACTACCGATAAAAAAAAAGGCTATTATAAAAACATTCAAGCTCGCTATTTAACCATTTTTTGTAATCATGCGGTTGTAAGTTCAAGAAAAGTGCATAAAGAAAAAAGCCGTAGTACCTAATAGCGAGAAAACGTGACGCGTCAATAATAAAATTTCAAAAATTTCCAAACAAAACCATCTATCAAAGTAACAGTTCACTCGCCTTTTCGCTTGCTTATAAAAAAGAGTTGATCATAAAAATGCTCAAGTCCTCTATTCTGTTGCTACGCTGTTTTAAATTCAAGAAAAAAAGCCGTAGTACCTAATAAAGAAAAAAAATATTACGCGTCAAAATAATAAAATGTAAAAAATTTCAAAACTAAAACATATATCAAAGCTAACAGTATGTGCACCCACTTTGGTTTTCTGCGATCACTTTTTCACTTGTTAGGTATTTATTTATCTTACACGGACAAAAGTGGAAAAAAACGATCGTAAAAATGATCGAGCCTATATTTATTTACATATATTAAATCTCCGATCTCCTAGAATAAACTCAAACTTACTAATTTATCTGTCACTAAACTACTCTGTATAACAATATTTATCCTAATCTGTGTAACAGTATTTATTTGATATTATTTTTTAAGGTAGGATATCAATAAACCCTGGTAAAAATATTATTTTTACTTAATATAAAGTAGCAATATATTGTTTAGTAAGAGAGTCTGCTAAATTATTAAAAATATTATTTTATAGGCTTGAACTTTATGAAAAATTATATATAATAAATAAGATTTTATAATATTAAAAAGTATATACCATCATAACCAGGTATTAAATTTAAAAAGTTTGTTTGAGTTGAAGATAAAAAATATAAGTTTGTAATATTTAGAAATAATAGATTAAAAGTTTGTATAGATATTAATTACAGAGTTGTGAAGGGTAGTAGAAATAGCTAATAAAATAACAAAAAGTTCTACCTTGTAAAAAGATAAGCAGAGTTTATTTTGAGTATTAAAATAACAGATTATTTATTAACTTAAACCCAACTAATTTCTATAGAGTATTGGCTAGTATCAATATTAATTACAGATCTATTGGTAAAGAAATTAAATAGATTAGAGTTCAAGTTGTTAATTGATATTTTTTCAAGTTTGTTTTTTATTTTTTCAAGGTGGAAAACTGAAGTTTCAATTGAATCTATTATTAGAATAGTAGGCAATATTAATAAAACCAAGTCTGATAATAGTTTTAATAGCTATAGAAAAAATCTATACAATTGGTATTAAATTTAAGTTGATTGTTTTAAAGAATTTGGCATATATAATATTAGAGATTTTTAAAATAAGCTAAATTTATTCAATTAAAATAAGATGGCATCTTGAACAAGGTGAATAATTGATTGGTGACAGTGGGTAGCAATTAGTAGTACTGAGATCAAAATTGCTTGCCAATATATAATAGAGACTTTTTTTACTAGATATTAGAATATAATTAGTACTCTTTATTTAGCTAATATTTATTTTGTATTTATCTTTTATATTTCTAATATATGTAACAAAATTAATATATAATTATTATATTAAGAATTAATATCAGAATATTAATAGATGCACTTTATTTATATAATATTTATATTATACAGTCAGACCTCTCTAAATGCACTCTTTCTAAATGCAGAACCCTCCTAAATTCATAATATAAGCCTGGGCCCATGGTGGAACTTATAGATAAATGCATGTTATTTATTCTGTAAATGCATTCTAATTGTCTGGCCCACTTATAAAAACTCTCTTCATAAATGCATCTATATAATTATTAATTAATTAGATTCATTATTTTAGACAATTAAAGGCATATCTATTATGTGATAATAGTTATATAGTGATTTTATTAGTGTTTTTTAATTGCAACCCTCCCTAAATGCATGCTCTAAAGCTGGTTCTGACAACATAAATTTAGAGAGGTCTGACTGTACCAGTATTTATCCATGTTGTTGTGCTATAATAATATGAGTTTGTTAAATAACTACATTTATTGATGCTTACATTTCTTATATAAATAACAATCAAGCTATAGGCTTGATAATATCACAGTTATTTTGAGCTCTTATATGTAATATTTTTAAAAATTAAACCTTTATATGCAATTATTTTTATTTTAGACCTGTATTTGTAATTATTGAACTTTACAAACCCTTATTTGTAAATTCTTCTAAAATTTTTAATACTTATTTTATAATTATTATATTATTTTATTACTTAGTATTATATAGATTATTATTACATTATTTATTGAAGTTATTACTTCATATTCAGTAATTGATTACATTCTAATTGCTACATATTTTGTAAATTGTATATTTACTTTATCTTATAATATGTAAATATGCTTATAAAAATAAGTATATATGATATATCATTTCTATAAGAGTATAATAATTGCTTTTGTTGCAATACCCAAAAGTTGAAGATCCAATTTGGAATCATGCCTTTTATCTAAGCAGTGTTCGTCACATTGAATTTACATGAATGATCAGTGTATAACGTTAAAATTCATATTTTTAAAAATCGTATTTATCTTGAAATTTCGCTTATGAATTATTTTCTGTTTTAACAAATAATTTCTTACGAAATTTTAGTATTGGTTCTTTTTTTACAGTCTTACCCTAACACTTACCCTAACACTTATTGACGGTATTTTTTTTTAAAAAACGAAATCATATAAACATGATGATCATTCCATTTTGGGGGTGATGTCAATGTAAACAAAATATCAGTGATTGGCTGGGAATACCCGGGATCAGCCCGATGGGTCACCCGGGTCAAAACTCATAGAAGGACTTTCGTCTGATTTGCTAATGCAAATCAATTACCCGGGTAACTTATTTATGCACTTTAGAGTACTTTTTGAGAGCGTAACATTTCACTAACAAAAAATCACCCCAAAGTCATTCATAGCTTTAAACGACCGTTAGTATTGTTAAGCGGTGAATTGTAGAGTTTTATTTATTTATGTACAAAAAGATATAATTTTGGGAATAAGGCAACTCGC